GTCAGTATCCAAAGGCTCTCGCTCTCTCCATCTCAACTTTTTGGGGGGTTGGGGCTTAGGGCTGTAGGGTTAGGAAATTCTCTCTCACCTGAACTCTCTCTCCTTCTTTGCTGGGCTTAGGGTCGAGGGCGGCTGAGGGGTTAGAGTCTAGGGTTTCGATTTTTGGGGTTTCGGGCTTAGGGCTCAGNNAGGGTATAGGATTTAGGATTCAGCATTTTTGGTAGAAGGGGGGTAGCGCGAAGCTTGTTATAAAGGGTTCAGGACGATAAGGATTGCCGTAAGTTGCTACTATAAGAGCATAAGCATTGCTATCGATTTTGTTTAGGGCTTAGGGCTAGTAGAAAGGTTGCTATACATATTCCTGTTTGGGGCGGGGTTACGGCATTGGGGGTCCTATAGGACTGCCGTCCAGAAATTCTCTCAGTGTCGTTAGACGGTTTGGTGGGTTGGATTTGTAGATGGCTAAAAGCGGTTCGCCGGGCCGGGTCCTTACGAAGGGCTTTTACGGTTCCTCTACTTAAAGGATCATGGGACTTAGTAAGTAGGGTTATAATTAGGGTAACTAGTAAGTTTGGGATTCCTTGTGCCTTAGAGCTTCGGGGATGCGGACTTGGAACTAACGGCCCCTCGCAAGCAAGCGCAGGGCGCAGGAGTCGAGCTGATGTAAACCCTAAAGACTACTTGGAGGATCATGGGACTTAGTAAGTAGGGTTATAAGTCCCTTAATTGGGGTTATAAGTATAGTTACCCTAATTATAACCCTACTTACTAAGTCCCATGATCCTTCAAGTAGAGGCCTTCATGATTAGAATAGGGTTTTGGGGGCCCATGATACTATAATTACAGTAGGGAACCCCCAAAATAGTATAGGTCTAATGCCCAGAAATAACCAGACATGCCTTTCGGGCTGGGCAAGTGTCATTGTGAGGGGTATGACGAGGCCTTCATAGTGTCAGCGAGCTTTGCAAGAACGTTGCAGCGTCACTGCCTAGAAAGTCTTACAAGGGGAACCCTAAACCCTAAACCCTAAACCCTCTCAACTCTGCTTCAAGGTCTTAAGGGTGTCAAGCTTGAGAGTGGGGTTCATTGAACCCTAAATCGAAAACCCTAAACCCCAAACCCAAACCCTCGAGATGCCCCAAAGTCCCAACGAGTCCTCCAGCAGGGTGTCCAGCTTAGTCCTTGGGCGACGGGGTTCCGCACTGGTCCAGGCGATTCTATAGGACAGTTTCGGGTTTGGGCCCTAAAGTTGGCTTAGGGTTCAGGGTTTAGGGTTTAGGGTTTAGGGCTTAGGGTTTAGGGTTTAGGGTGGCTGACTGGGATCGAGGTTCCGAGGCGGCGATTAAACCAAAGCCTGAAACGTTTCAGGATTTTAGGGTTTGGGGTTCAGGGTTTAGGGACAGGTGTTCTGAACCCTCTACACCCGCAAAAGAACACACAAAACCCATAGGACCTTCTGGACAGCGCACTGCTCTTTGGGGATGGAACATTTAGGAAATGTAGGGTCGACTTTCAGGTTCACGGGCAGTCCTAAACAGATTGTAAGGCAAAGCGACTTCTGTAGCTATGACTGCTTGCCTCACCACTAATAGACACAGGTGCTTACAACCCCACGCATATTTATATGTAAACACATATTGTGTTACTTATGTTATATGATGTTGAAGTTAGACTATATACTGTACTAGACCAGGCTGTACTCTGCTATAATTACGATCTTACATTAAATTATATCATTTTATGTTGTCTTCGATTGTGTTATATGACATTATTTAAGTCATGCTGTGTTATGTTATACTCTGCCTGTATGTATATATATGTATATATA